AAATTAATGGTGGGTATAAAATGTCTTGAAAATTGACCTAGTTCATATCTTTCGTTACCTTGTTCAGCTTTTTGTGATTGTCATAAGAGAGATTGGACCTACATAAGATGAATTAGTTGAAATATGAACTAACACAAATGGTACTACAAAAACCGGAGCCTTCAAACTTTGTAGAGAAAGTTCTAATACAATTTATCTTCATCAATTTTGTGCTTTTCAAATAATGACTTTGAACTTGAATATGAATGTCAAATTGTAAAATACCAGCGAGCTTAGTCTACCATGTCAGAGGGTGGCAAGTTGCAGCATACATATAATCTAATTAGCAACTATAGGTTGCCTCCTCTTAGGTTTCCCAAGTAAATTGGGGTGAGTATATGTGATTTTTTTATTGCTTTATTTGTGATTTGCTCAAAAGGTCAGGGCTAACAATTATACCTTTCAGCATGCCTGCATGTGCTACTTACGACTCAAAAATTAGAATTGGCCTAATAGTAGTCTTACGACCTTACCCACTAGGCAATGAAGCCCATTAAATTAGGGTTAGTTCAATTGACTTTAAACTTTAATATAACGTGCATTTTAATGTGTACTAAGATGACTAGCCATGACCCTGAGATCAACTAGGAATCAAAACATCAAACAAAGGTACTGGGCCTATTTAGCCTAATACACCAGGTAGACTTTATTTGCATTTAATTTAAATTTTGGGAGGCATCATGACTTAATCTTTTTAATAGCTCATTGTATTACATTCAACCTAAATCCACCCATCCTCTACTATAACATTTTATTGTAAACTTAAAAATATTTAAGAGAAGGAGATATACTTGCATGGTCCATTTTATGGATCAATAATTTTTAACGATCCAATTGCATAAATGTTGACACTCATGAGTTCTTTATGACATTTCTAATTTATTAGCACTTTTGATAATTACTAATAGAAATCAAATCAAAATTCTTGGTTAATTCTAGTTTATTAAAGTGCTCCATATTATTCATGCAGCTTAGGATTTCCTGCTCATTTTTCTAGATGCACATATGTTTTCTTGGAAAAATTCTATGTTGTTTCTGATGAGGTCATCGACAGGAAGTTTCGGCGAGTCTACCAGAGACGACATCGGAGATTGACGGCCATGATAGAGAGCCTCTACTACTGATTTTATTTGCACTAGCATTTTATGTATTATGCATTTTCTTTTCCAGTTTTCCCATTTTACCCATGAGGGTATTAGTTTACTTTTGTAGCCCATAGGGCATTTTAGACTTTTATATTTTGTTGTCATGTGAAGCCTATTTAAAGGGCTCTTGTATCTTGTATGGGAAAATTAGTGAATTATTGAATGAAAATTTGTTTTGTGTTCTCTTTGTGAGTGCCACTCTTTGGATCTCTTTGTGAGTTCTTTTAGAGATCTCTTAGTGAGTTCTCGAGGTCGTTACATGCTACCTTCATCTTCTCTACCCAAATCTCCCGCAAGCAATAGTCAACCGGTGGAAGGAGCTGAATTTTCGTGAGCATTTTCATCTTTGGAGCCCAACCCGCCGGCCACCCTAGTCCCGCCGGCCACCCTCCCTCTCCACCACTTCTCCCCATCTCCTTCCCCAACTCCTCATTGAAATTTGATTTTCAAATTTCACTCTCTTTCCAAATTTGGAAATTATATTTATGGAAAGTTTTTGAATGAATCCAAAAATAAATTTACATGAAATTGGATTTATTTTCAAATTTTCCTAGTCATCAAATCCTATTTGGAAACCCCCCTTCCTCTCTCCCCAATTCCCTCCCTCTCTAGCCATGCCGCCGGCCCCCTATGGGGAATTCCATTAATTACTCAATTAATTCCCAAATTCTATTTGAAATTCAAATTAGGATTAAATATTTTTCCCTCCACTTATACTAAAACTGAAATAATTTCAATTTTTATTCCCTAATCCCCTCTCTTCCTACCGCCGGCTCCCCCTTGGCATCTCCCTAATTGATTTTTCAATTAATGCTTTGATTACATTAATTGGAAATTCAAAATCCCTAATTCTTCCCTCCCAATTTCATCAAATTGAAATTAAACTTCAGTTTTAATCTCAAACAAGCCCGTCCCTCACCCTTGCTCTACCGCTGGCCCTCCTTTTCCCTCTCCAAGCCGCCGCCCCTCTCTCCCTCCCATTGGAGATCTTCTTGCGGCGACCACCCATCTTCACTTGCAAGAATGCATGGACGAACCCGAGTGGAACTTCGGGTTTGAGTACGACAACAACGGAAGGGTTAACATCCTTAGGTCACAATTCTTCGACGTCGGCTTTGACTTCGACGACACCGTCGAAGAATACTTGGACCGAATCCTACCAACGCTAGTGAATTCCATCGACGAACACTTCTCCGTCTACACGTGGATCATCAAAGGTTGATCTACCGTGCCCCCTCCACCTCCGAGATCCTTCTCCACGACGACGTTCCTTGGCTCCTCCCTCCTCGTGGCAACCTCAATGCTAGTTTGGACGATCTTCCGCCGCTCAACCTAGTCTTCGTAGGAAATAGAGAAAAGGTCTCAAGGTGTGAACAACTCTTTATTACTTGTGGGATTCAAGTTACTAGTTTTTAACGTTATTATTTTCCTTGTATTAGATTAAATCGTTCGGCTATCTTCTTTATTGTAATTCTTTTGCCTAAGCAAAGTGGAACTCTACGAGCTCTTGTAACCGATTTGAATTTGAAGCATGAAATTATAAATGGTTAAGCTTTAATTAATTTTCTTTCCTTAACTCATGTGTAACTCAAACCATGCATCACATCAGTTTCTGTGGTTACTTCTGAAACCATTTATTGCCGGACACAGTTGCTGCAATTAGGCATCAAAAAGAAGCTGAAATTTAGCATTCTGTCATGTTGGCACATGTGATAGAGACTGATTTAATGAAATTACAAGTCACATTAGAACTCTCTTTAATTCCTCTTTTTTTATATAAGGTGTGAGAAGTCAAATTCAAGGAATTTATAATATTTTTTCTAATGCACATAATGCTACTCAAAAATATTTTTCAAACCGCACATTCACCCAGAGTAACGTCTAAGCCACTTTTGAGCCCACCATTTAGAAGCCCTTTTTGCAACACAATTTGGGGGCTATTTAAATAGGTGACTAGGTAACCGTATATTATTGAAATAAGTATTTTTTCCATTATTATTGATCAGCTTTATGGCAGACCTTGAGGGTCAGTTCCATATGTATTTACATTATCCAAGTGAATGGTTCCTTGCAATTTACAAACTGCAGGAAATTATTTTTCCAGCAGCTATCAGGCCTTTTTTTTTTTCCTATGCAATAAGGGCCTCGTAATAGCTTGTAATTACAATAAACATGTTAGCACTTAATGCAACATGATTCTGCCTTTAGTGCAAGATGCAAAAACTCAATACAACCTGCCCACTATCAATCCATTTTAAACAATAAATGCTCCACTCTTATTTAATCAAATCAAGCAAAAGTATTCCCTTATATGCAGCTTTAAAAATTGAAGGCTCCACCTCGGTATTTGATAATATGAAGAAAAAAGTTAATCCCATTAATGCATACTTCATTTGAATCAACGTTCAATCTCATTAACCAACTAAATAATAAGAGTGAATAATTAATAAACGTGGCTAGCTTCCATTATGATTTTGGTATTTAGTTTAATATGATAAATGAAAAAATATATAAAATTAATAATATAATCTAACATACACCATAATAACTAAAATGCCCTCACATTTAAATGTTGAGGTTAAAAATTGCTTGCTACTTTTGGCATTGAAACCAAATTAGGACTTTTTATAATAATCAGGGACTATATTGGGCTTTTACTATGTAAGTGTGTCTATCACCGGCTACCTTCATCTTCTACAAGTGGGTCTTCCAATCAAGCTTCTTATCGCCCAGCAACAACCTTAAGACAACCAACGAGCTAGCAAAGCATGGCCGCTGATGGTCGAAGAAAGCACTACTTGGACACAAGACAAAGAGATAAATAGAGGGAGGAGGAGGAACTCTTATCGGATCAAAGATCAACAAAACATAGAAGATGGTCATCTTCCCAACCGAATCAAAGATCAACGAAACATAAGGTCTTCCTCTGGTAGCTGCTCACCTTATTGTTTTGGTTTATTTAATTTTTCTTCTTCTATATTCCACATTTGTAGTTTGTCTCTTTGCAATTTGTGTGCTTGTATTTTGAAAAGAGGATGCAAAAGAAAGAAAGCGCTCATTCAGCTAATGGGAGAGAGCGGGAGAAACAACATCACGATATAGAGATCATGGAAGGGTTGTGTGCAACATGAGTGGTTTGCATGAAGTGTTGCTAGCAGGCAAAGCAAGACACGTGGGCTAGCATGAGAGTGATGGTGGTTAACGTGGCAAGGAAAGCATGGGACAATGTGTGCAACAAAGCCTTGCAAGGCATCTGCCAAGTTCAAGTGTTGCAAGCATATCAGAGCGTGACCTGAACTAAGGTGGCGAACTCAACGAGCGAGGCAGAGCAGGTGCGCGTGCAAACAAAGAGAGTGAACTCATTACTAGGAGTGAAATGAGCAATCAAAGTTTTGGATCGCATGACATTGAGGTGTGAACAATGTTGCGGAAACACCACATGTTTTCTCCTCTTTTTTTTCCTTACCCTCTTTTTTCTCTAAAACAAATAAAAAAAACTCCCATAAAAGTGAAACAGAAATGTATGCATCCTATACTTCCTCAACAAAGTTGGCCTGTAGCCTGCTAGTTCTGAATCATAAAACAGACAAAACAAACCCCAAAAAAACAAAACTCCGAACAAAAAAAGTGGAAATTTCTGTCAGTAGGTTTTTGTCTAATAACATTTATCAATTTAACATGATAGAATGCCATCAAATTTCCATAGATATGAATGATGCAATCTCTCCAAGGGAAACTTCATATAGGCATGAAGTCAAGAAAAAATTACAGTACAACATCCCCAACTGGAATATAAAAATAAGATGAGATGCGTACCTGAAGATGTTCATGAATGATGACATGAAGCTCCTTCCCAGCTCCACATACAGCTTTAGACACACGTTTTAAACCCTACAAGGACCTATCTATCTAAGAGAATGCAAAAAAATAGCAACATGAAAATGGCTCGGGTTTAATAGTACCGCTTCACCAAGTGAGTTCACTAGGAATTGATGAAGGGGAGGACTTGTTCGAGCTCCAAATAGAAGGCTTAAAAACTCATCTTGTGGATTCCAGTCTAGACCACCTGTTTAAGCATAATCCACATTTAACGGAAGTAATAATTCCAAAGCAGAGTATGAAAGACAAGCTGCTATTTACATAAGCCAGCATGCCAAAATTCACTTAGGAAAAGTAACTACCATGGCTGATAATCAAAGAAGAGAGAAGGCTAAACTTCTCATTAAATGAATTCATTGCACTAAACCATTGCTTGGACATCAGCGACAGGGACTCTCGAATAACCTCAATTAAATGATCAATATTTGAAGCTTGTTGGGCAACTTGATGGAGCTCATTCTTTCTGTCACAATGAGAGTTGGCTTATAAGAAAGGATCGCACCCTGGAAATTGAACATTAACATGCTAAGGCTAAGCAGAATTATATAGAAAGCAACTATGACAACACAGACTATTGATATGATGCAGCAATATTCTCTCTCTATATATATAGCTTTTTCACTGAAAAAATAGAATAAAACATACATGGTGACTAATTAGAGTTGAAACAGTTTTTAGGTAAAAAAATATTACATCATAAATTAAGTAAAAAAAATAATAGAAAGAAATATAAAATTGCCAGTCTGTCTCTCTCCGATTAGATCAAGCATTTACATCATGCAGACTGGCAAAATCTGCTGTTTGAAAAACGCAAATAAAAAATTTTACCATGTAATTAGTATAAGTCGACAAGATCCACGTGAAACACTATTACTTGATGGTCTTCTATTATATTGAAGGACATGTATCGCATGCTTCTGAAATGAAGAAATTGATATGTACTTTTGAAAATAAGAAACTTCAAAAATTCCTTGCGCAGATTAAAGTATTGGGTTGAGAAGATAATAGCAATTCTAGTTTTAAGGCCAACTGCTTAGTGATATTGAATTTTCACTTTTCTTAAGTAAATGAAGCCTTTCTTCAAAGTTCTATCATAAAATGGCCTCAGAACAGACAATTATCATTATCGGTTCATGTAGCAATAAAAAAAGAGTAAATATTTAGTCACTCTATTGTTCTTTGATATTATTAATATGAAACTTGACCATCCACAAACTTGAGTGAATACAACTTAATATATGGACCTTATATCATGAGGATAGCAAATTGCACCTGTTCATTCAGTTGCTTACCTACTGAGAAATATAGAAGTATTGAGAAGCATACAATGTAAACCAGTGGAAGAACCAAAATAGGGACCTGGTCCACCCACTTCAACGAATCCATCATCTTTGAAAACACATTCATCTTGTGTTCGAATGATATCTCCAACCACCTCTCCAGAACATAGGACAATCAGTTGACACAGAGTTTTTGATAAAGCCACCTTGAAACAACATCCACCCATCAATATAGTCAGCCAACATCCATCAAAATTCAGATAAACAATGCATTCGGCAGAATACACAGTAAAAAGTAGCCGAAGCTCTGTATCAAAATAAATGTGCTGCGCGCTTTCACCAGATGAAAAAATAGCCTAAGACTTCATTTTTGAATTCTTATTCAGCAGAGCAAATTAAAGATACAAATATAGTAGATATATAAGGATTTAAAGGGGACAAAAAAAGTATAAAAAACCACAGATAGAAGAGACAGGCACGTTTTATGAAACAATAATACTGCATATGGCATTAACCAAATGAAAAAAGTACAGATTTAAGCGAAATTAATAATTTTAGAAAAATAGAATGCTAATGTCAACAATTACAAAGCTTCAAAGGAATAGGCCAGTTATCGGAACTATTACTCTATATAAGACGAAATAAATAATTGAAACATTCTAATTTTCAATATTAGCAGTTTTAATGGGGGAAATTAGCAGATTACAAGACAAATAACTATATTTAGTTTTAAGAAATGAAGTTGCTAAGGAACATAATTTGTATGGCAGTTAAGTGCTCAAAACCAACCAAGTTCATAGTATCACAAATAGAATGTTTAGATGGATGGGTGGTAAAGTTACCTATACCTAACAGTTGAAGGAGTATAAACTTAGGCAACTTATATATAGAACGCAGCCAAGCTAGGAGCCAGAATTTGGCTAATTTGATCTTTGAGCTCATTTCAAGTCAAACCTAGCACTGATCATGCGGGATTGCCATCAAGATCTAGAAAAGCAAGGATGCATATCAGGAAATAGGTTAAACATGATATAGGTACAAGATCTTCAATTTCCAGCTTAGTAAATATTGAGGATGAAATAATTAGTCCAGTGATAGAGTAGATGGAGACTAGAAATCGAATAAAGGAAAGAAATTATGAATGATGTTGAAAGGAAGGTCGGAAGATCAGTTTGTGTCTAGAGCCTAGACTATACATGCTACAAACTAAAGTGTTATAATAAATTTGTCTAACATGACTTATTATTGAAGAACTATGAACTTGGTAACAATGGAGCTTGAACATTCATAATGAATGTGATCATGTCATAATCCTAAAAATAGCCATCATACCTAAAATTAAATTAGAGGTGATATAGGTTATTTCTGTTTAGCATCTCACTTCGCAAGAACAATGGCCTAAGGTGATGCGGTGATGCCTAACTTTATCGCCTAAAAAGCGTGACACCAGAAATTAGCTCTTACCATACAATTTTAGAAAATTATTATTCCTAGTTTTCAACCATAATTCCGGCTGTGTGATAATGGGCATAGCATAGCATAGAAAGACACCATATATTGAATCTCCATCTAATGAAGGAGATAAGCTGAGTGAAATATGATTAAGCCAGACACTCAACAAGGGATTAATCTGTGTCAATTGCGATTTAAGGGACTGGAATAATGAAAAGGATCAAAATCACTTCATAAGAAAAATATGAGGATCCCTACTGAGATTTGGACATGCAAATCCAAAATCTTTCTTTGCACAGAAAAGAATAAATGCTTTTCAATCCGCAAGGTAGAGAATCATATTTCCTATCTTTCATGTCATTCAACAAAAGGAGTTGACAACTACAAAACAGATTTAGGCTTGCATTACAAGACCAGACTAGTAAAACTTTATATATACAAAAAAATTACAGAAAAAAAGGGTCTAAGGCAAATGATTATTAACATGGGATGGTAAGCAATGCTTGAGAAGCTAAATGTCTCGATTAATGTAGCTTTAACCTCAAGAATCTTGAAGATTACAAAAAGATAATAGAAGAAGCAAAATAGACTGAAATATGAGTAATCAATAAATCAAACAGGCTATTAATAAAAAAAGATTAGAAAAAATACAACTAAAGCCCTTTCTAGCATGTATCTTGGAATAAAAAGAATAACAACTTGAACAAATAAGCTATACATTACCTTTTGTATGGAAGCATTACGCAGCTTGTCAGTCATATCATCTAATGCAGGAGTTGAAATAGACAAATTCCGAATGTTCTGATAACTGAATTTAGTAAGTTAAAACATGCATAGAATAAACAATAGTATCTGTACAGCATACCACAATGGAAATAATAACAAAAATCTATATCTATTGGATCTCTTTACTTTCAAACGTGCATGGAGTTTCAGAAAAGACAATTAGAGGGGAAAACCATACCTAACTAAAATTTAATAGAACAAAAAAGTACTAAAGAAACGAATCAAAGGGTTATCATTCTTTTACAAAATCAAATCCAGCATCATAGAAAAGGGTCATACACACTGCTTGGGGATCCCTCACTATGTAGGGAAGTCGAAGGAATAATGCATCCTAGCCAAAATATATCACTGAATTGCACTCATATGAAGGGTGACTGAAAATTTAATACTAGCAGTCAGCTGCAGAATGATATGCAAAATCAACATCGAAGGTTACAGTTTTTTCAAATTAAAACATGGTCAACCAACTTCCCTAATGTCATTACCAAATTATAAAAACTTCAAGCCATTCTACGGTAAGCCACTACTTAGCCATCAGACAACTAAGTGCATGATTATGTTTAAAATGTTAGAAAATCAGAAACCTGAACATCTCAAGATAACAAGACAATATGCCCATTTCTTCTTAGTAATTTTACTGCAGCATAAACACAGCCATTAGCAAATTAGCAAGACACTGATAGGAAACTCCCATTGTTTCTATAGTAGTAGCATTGTAAAGATTGCATGTGTTATATGAGAGCAATCTATATATAATTGCATATTAATAAGTAAATATAATTAAAGTGAATTGGTTGAGCATTTAATTCCAATAATTGTATAATATTTATATATTTAGAAGAGCTTCTAATAGGAGATATGAAAAATCAAGGAATAATACTTACAAAATAATTATAATAGTGCACCAGTTAATGAGTAATACAATAGTCCACAAACTGATAAGTAGGCAAAAGGAATCTCATAGATCAATGAGATGACAATGCAAGAGAAAGGAAAGAGGTCAAAAATCTTGGTGAGTGTGGATCCTCGTTAGCAGATATTATACGAACATTTCAAACTCCTTCACAAGCTTATGAATGGATGCAATCCATTTTAAGCTTATTAGTTTGAAAGATTTCTGGTATTCCTTTAAAGACAATGTCAGCAAGTTATTCACTTACAAATGCTAGAATAAAGAACATGTTTTATGTTTTTTAGGTGTTCCTAGTAAGATAATTTGTCCTTCTATACCTTATAAATGACCTAATTTTATTCTTCCCTTTAAGAACATGTGAACCAATTGCTACCAGATAGATATTTTCCATGCAATGGCTATGTTGAATGATTCTTTGCAATCTCCCATTGGATTTAGATTATATTCCCCAATTCCACAAGTACCCAAGACCAACAGCAAGTGGGTACTTTTATTGTTATTCATGGACAAACAAATTGTGGGTCTGTTCACAAGAAAAAATATAAAAAGAAATAAATGCAACAATAAAGGCCACAACAATGGGATAAATTTGTGGCAATGCATTGATAAAGGCTGCAATAATGGAAAAAATTTGCAGCAATGCAGTAATAAAAGCTGCGATTATAAAAATAAATAGGGAAAAAGAAAGATAGTGCAGTAATTAAGGCTGCAGGAATGTAATAATGCAGCGATGAACGCAGCTATAATGGAAAAACAAGAAATGGAAAAACAAGAAAGAGAAAAAGCCTAAGTCAAAGATACTATGACAAGAATCAGGGAAAAGTATTCCATTTCAATATTTGTATAATACTTATCCTAAGAGAGTCGGTAATAGAAAACATACAAAATTAGAGAATAATAATTCTAAAATAATTAAAATAATCCACAATTTGAAGAGTTAACAAAATAATAATTACAATGGTCCACGTATAGATGAGCAGGTGGCAGATCAATGAGATGGTAGTGAACCAAAAAAGAGAAGTCTTAGTGAATGTGCCCCAGTTGGTGAAAATTTTGCAGGTGTTCCAAAATAGGCATGGTTGATTGTATAATATTTAACAATGATTAAATTCATGTCATAAAACAAGGCGAGGCAAGGCAACAAAAGGTCCAACACCATTTAGAAAATTTTCAAGTGTCACATATGCTGTTGTTTCTTGCCATCTGCAACTTTCCTTCGCAGAACTGCAGTGCTATTCGATTGATTAAATATACGAGTTTTCATATATAGGTATTGTAGAAAATATTAACTATTTAAATGCCTTCCTTTCCCCGCATTATATTGTAGTTGTGAAAATCAAGACTTGTAAGACATTTTAACATGAGATTTTATTAGTTAAAAATTTATTATTTATGCCAAAACTAATAAGAGAATTTGTTATTTCAAGAAATCAAGTGTGCTGATGGAAACTTGCATTATTAAGCAATATATTTAATGATTATAATAAAAATCCTATTTTGGGTCTTTCTCGGGTTATAAATAAAACCTCTGAGGCATCTAAGAAATCATTGATCATTGAATAGTGAAATAAAATTTACCTTCGTTAAAACAACTCCTTTATTTGTTGTTCGATGTAAATTCTTTCAGTGTGCAAATCTTGGCAATAATATCTAGGGACAAATCTCACTGTATCAATGTGAGGCTTGGATCATCCAATTAAAGATTTTTTTTTTTTGTTCTTGCTTCTAAATTGTTTATTCATTGGTGTGTAACGGAGATTGAGGTTTTGTCAAATTTGATTCGTGTCATTTTCTTTTTATTATATGAATTTCATTTAGTGCAAAATTTTATATTAGTTCTCAAAAGAATTTGAGATTTGTGACTTTAAAATATTGTTTGGAAAGCATAAATTGTATTTTTCATATTTTACATTAAAAGTGATTGATCTTTGCTTAAATTGAAGTTGGGAATACACTACTTATAATCTTTTATACGTACCTTTAAGCATTCCATCTTAGGTTTGCATTAATAAACCCATGACCATAAGGCATTCTGTATTAAATTGGTATCAAACTTCTAAGAAAATGGTCAAATTGATCTGTGGACAATTTGTTGGGGTCATTTTAGTTTTAGACTATTTAAAGTTTCCTAGTTAGTTTCTTGACTCCTCAAATATAATACATAATAGTCCAATAATTAGAATATTATTTAATTTGATGAAAATTTCATGCGAAGTTCACAAAGGAGGTAGGGAATGATGCTATTTAAAAAATAAATAAATTTTTATACATTTTGATTTGCATTAAATACCCTCACTTCAAATCACATTTGTGAACTTCCCATTAATTTCCCATCAAATTAAACTGAGATTCTATTGTATTGGTTCTTTAATTCCCTTAGTTTATTTGTAAAACTTACCGTTTACTTTCTTAGTAGGAGGGTTACTTGTGTAAATTTCAATTTAAAAAACGACCTTGAGTTGTGGTTATAAATACACACTAAAACTTATTGTAAATACAATCCAATTTATTTACTCTCCGAGTGAATTTCTTCTCCTTGCCATTTTCTTCTTCCACTCTTTGATTTCTCTATCCATGTTTTTGGGGCAACTGCTTTTAATTGGTTTTATCAAAAACCAATTAAGATCTAGGCCATGGTGGCACTGAATACAAACAATAAGGATTTCCGTTGAGTTGCTTTCCTTCCTTTTTTTTATTGTATTGGTTTCGTTTAATTGAACCAACTACTTGGTTCTGCTAATATGAGATATAAAGATGGGAATCAGAGAGCAAAAGCAAGCGAATGAGAGAGTGAAACCAAGAGAGCAAAGCGAGAGAGATTGGGCGAGCGCAATGAGTCACAGACAAGAAAGCAAAGTTCCGTACTTGTCCAAGCATACGCATATGTGGGATGATGCCAATTGAAGCGCACAATGTTGCATCAACTGAAGCGCACAATGTTGCATCAACGCTAAAGCTCTTATTCACTTACTTTTCCAAACCAAATGGTAAAATTTTGCCTAGTTTTTATCTCAATAAACCCTACGTTTAGTTTGTAAAAATATGAAAAAAAATTATTGGGATTTTGAAGTACAAAAAGAAAATAAAACAATTAAGAGAAGGAAGTTGTTAATGTTCACAAAAGAAAGAAAGAAGAAGAGGAATATTGGTGGTATGTAACTAGAAACTTTTATGAAAAATATGAAATTTCAAATTAGGACTTCAATTCGAATTAGCATAAACTTAGAGAACTTAATAAATTGATAGATTGAAAATAGTAAGAAATTATAATGGAGTGGAAGCAAAATGCTATTAAATAATGAGATTAATTGTAGTAATGAGACATGAATAATTAAATAATGAATATCATATAGAAAATTGTCTATAGTTATAGGACTAAACTAATGGAGACCAAGTTTAAAGATTAAAAAGACAAAGCAAGTCTTATAAGGATAAAGTGAAAACTATATTTTATATTACAGTAATTATAATCGTTCTATCAAGTTTGATGCATTAACTAATATGTTCTTTAAATATACATTTGATAATGTTTGTATCACAACTTGCCAGTGGAAAATGATTAAATAAGCATTATCTTTCTCTTGCATAAATGTCTTTATATTGTTATAAATGTTAGATAAGATTCATCTTATTCTAACCTCATAAATTATCATTTTTATAAGTATCTATATGATAAGATGAGCATGAGAAATATGATAAAAATTTGTATGTGTGCTGAATGATTGAGTTCACCACCTAGGAATACTAGATGAGATGCTAATGTACTAACACTTGCCTGCTCCTATGCTTGGAAAAAGGATATGAAAAAGGTTGTGCCTTAAGTGATACAAAATGAAACGGTGCTCTTTTGATAGGTGTATTATATTAGAAGATAAGATATGTTATTACATGATAATTTTTTGTAAGATCAAATTAGTAAATGATAAATTCTATTGTTTTATTCTTGAATAAGTTGCAAAATTGATCTATGTTCAAAAAGGTAAAGGTGGACCAAAAATAGCTTGATTTGAAGGTATTAGAAGTTACTTTTTTATTATATTTAATTATTTAAATGAGAATTTAATTCTTAATATGACACAATGGAGAAGGATTCATGTCGCCGACCCCACGTAATGGGATATGACTTGTTGTTTAATAAGATGCTAAGGTTTATATTTAAAACTCTTCTCAAAATGAAATGCTAATACTTGTGATGACTTGCATGCATATTATTTTTATTCTTAAAATTATTATAATATATAACCGTAATTAACCACCAAGTTGTTTATATAACTCACCATTAGTTCATACTCATTTTTTAGGAAAATCTCCTTTAAGTTGAACGAGTGAGAATTTATTATTTATCAGAAGAAAAGGTATTGATGATAGGTATTATAAGAAAATATGTATTAGTTTTTATTCTATTTTAGTTGCATTGTTTGCAAATGTATGAGACAGAAATCATTCATATTATGATTTGGATATGAACGAAGTTGTCTGATTTAGTAGTTCTTTGATATTGGAAGATGTTGCTTTAGGAAAGTTCATAATGTCAATAGGAATAAAAAAAACTATTTCCCGATAGTCTATTCCCACCATGGCATTCCAAACTATCAGATTGGGTCACAACATAACATCTGATAAAAGCAATCTCCAAGTCTTTTGAATTGGACTTTGAAATTTTAAGATACTGTCTGTGAAGAAAAATCAAGAGGAAGAGATAGCTGAGATGGAAGGGCCTATTAATACTAGAATGGATTCTTCACAAGTCGATAAGCACATGAAGGTCATACTTTGAATTTTATTCTTATTTTCTCTTTGATGGAGTTTGTTGTTAGCAAATATTATTGAGTCATCAGATCTTTTTATCCACAAAAGGTGATGCTTAACAAATCCAACAAAAAAAATACTGCATCCAATGGAGCTCTCGGCTACTTGAACAAAATCTTTAAGGAAAAACATGGGATAATTTCATCTATGCTGAAAATACAAAAACTTACGATCAGGTTTTAAGCATGTGCACTGCAAATACCCCATTAGTTAAAATTTTGAAAACTACGCGCATTGAATGGCACTAAAAAAGGTAAAAACGCTATAGATGACTTAGAAAACAGATATAGTTGGCAAGAATATCATAACAAACGCCTCGACACAAAGGGAAAACAATATGTTGTTTTTCCTTTTCATTCCACCACAAAAAATTAAAGACAAAGAATAGCATACTGAATAACTGAAAAAAAGAAATATTAACAAATATAAGCTACAAGGGATCATTCTATATCAATTTATCTTTGGAAGACCCCCACGATTTTAATATGTATCAATGCTGAGGCATGTAATCATGCAGAAGTAAATTAGCCGCATGCACTGCTGGATACCTCAAAGAACCACAAATTGAAGCATCTGAAAATATAATGTTCAACGCCAATGTGAACTCAAAGAATCATGAATCAAACTGAAAATAGAATAAAAATACAATGCATAATGTTCCTTGTGTTATATTTCAAGACTACCTAAGGAACAATAAGTAAAAACTCCGCATCAACCACTATAGAATAACTGAAACCAAATAATTTGTTATAAAGTTGAATTGTCTACTCACAATTTTCCCCATCCGAAAAATTCCAAATGCACTAAAGCAGATGTAGCCATCCTTATCTCCACTACAAAGAACGTTAAAGTGCTGATAAGAACAATTAGATAGCTCTTGAAATGAATCTTCAGAATCATCCGCTAGCCCACTGTCTCCTGCACCAAGTCCACGCATTCTAGGAATTCTAGGAGAGGAGGGGAAAAACCGCATAGTCCGATCTTCATAGGAATATAGGTTGTTTTCCTCCTGTGACTATGTTCAAAAATGAATAGATACAAACATATGTCTAATGTCAAGCGAAGCATCATAGAGACCAAATTCAGCCCACAAGAAAATACAGATGCATTAAGATCGCAGACTAATAAATCAGGTGAAAGATATAGTAACCTTGTGAAAGATATAGTAACCTTATAAAATGACAAATATTCCACATTTTAACAATAGATATCAAAATGGGAGAAACATTAAGTATTAATCACATTAACATATTATCAAGATTAGAGTTCCTTTTATTGCTGTAGATTTGATGGATTAAAAAATTGTGATTTATAAAATAGGATCAAATTCATGGACTAGAAGAAACTTCTTTCTATGAGATATGAATTTGGCAGTGACAGATATTCTAATTGTAGCGAGAATGAAAAATTTTTCATTGATGTATGGCAAATTTAGAAATATAGAGTACCACTTAATTGTAAAATTGTAATAAGGAAAATTTCTTCATTGTGTACTCTTACATTATTTTTCATATAATTCATTAACTATAAAATTATGTGTATTGTTAAGATGTAAGCATGATGGAAATATTTAAGCAATTCTCAAGTAAATTTATTTTTTATGAAAGTGATGGCCATAGAGAAAAGTAATATAAAGAAAACAATAAAAATAAAAAATTATAGCTCTAAAATGATTTGGAGACCTGTTTAAAAAGTTTGAAGTTTATATTTTCTTAATGTTTTCATATATTTAATTTCCATAAGAAGATCTTACCAAATGAAATTAAGTTCAAAATTAAATGTTCAACTAAATATAAACAAAGTATCTGGTGTTTCTTTCATTCCAAATGGTGTGCAAGGCTTTCGCATCTTTATATGATCCTTGAAGCTCAAAATTTTGATGTGATTTTTTATTGTTATATAACTGTCTTTGAACTTGAAGGTCTATGTTAAATTTTATTAAATGCCATTAAATTATCAATTGCATGATTTTTTGCTTGTTTTCTATTTTCTTATTAGAAGAGATGAATATTTAATTAAATTGATAATCTATAAATTGTAAATTTGAATTCATGTGGTTAATTTCATGCATTACATTATAAAGTTGCAATAAGAAATCCGACCCTATGAACTACATTACTTACTAAAAATGTGGGAGTTTGTTTTCAAATCTCATATTTAAATTTAAAACTAAACTACGCATCCTCAAAATGTATCATCACAAATTAAAATGGCCTCATTTTCTTTCTCTTTATAATCTTCCACATCACAATCTTTTTCATTGCCCCCCTTTTCAACCAAAATATTCTTATCCTCATCCCATGTCCAAAATTGACCAAGAAAATGTTTCTTTCATTCCAATTCCAAGGAAACTTCACCCATAAAATATTACAAATATCTTTGATTCTTTAGCATCGTTTTTGATAAAAAGGACTCTCTATAAAAAAGTAGATAAATATAGGAACAAACATTTGAGAGAGCTACCAATATGCATTAACAAAAAATTAATTAATATTTTATCAAGAAAACGCCTCTTTGAGAGAGAAAATAGAAGAGTCGATGCTAGAATTCAAGCCGCTTACCTTGGTTGAGAAACAGGTCGAACGTGAGGAAAGTGCCATACCTTCGCTGTGAGCTCCTGTTAGATCAAATTAAACACAACACTGAGAGCACCTGTTGGGCAATCGAACCCAACAAGAAGCTGACGAGGCTGAAAGTTACGAAACTATCGAAATTCTGCTTCTCATGAAGCAGTCGAACTCTACACAGGTTTGAAAGGAAAGATTGATCGTTTAACTCTCGCTCAAAATAACTCATCCTGAACGAAACAGGCAAGGCCGTTTGCTCGGAAGAACGTGTCCTGACACGAAGCGGGCGAGGTCAAAGCAGTCGAGGTAGACGAGACCGAAGCAGCTAAAGCAGGAGAGATCGAAGCAACGTACACGAAGGGGAAGCAGAACGAAAGAGCGAGGTCGAAGCAATGTGCACGAAGAAGCAAGAGAGAATGAGAACGGTAGTCTTACAACTGTGGAAGTGCTTCAAAACAGAAGAAGCCCTAATTATAATAAGTGTGCTCGACTCACGCACGACTCTGCCAAAAAAAATATAAATAAATGAACGAGGCAACGCCTCGAACCGCCTCGACACGTTAGGCCTTGAGGTATACGCCTCGAACTGCCCAAGCCACGCCTCGATACGAGGTGCACCTCAAGGCGTCCGCCTCAAACCGTTTTTAAAACCATGTTAAAATCATTGTTGTGCTTGAGTTTGCGTCTTAAGACATACACAGAGAGTAAGTTTGAGCTTCTATGTCATAAATTGCATAAGCAAGAAGATAATATTTATCTTCTCAAAGTTCCTAAAATAATTCTTGTTGCAATTTGCTTACCACTATCTTAGGAGACATACACAATATTTGATGATTACAATTTGCTTCAACCACACCTAATAGTGATTAAGCTTTTATTGCTACTATCACCATCTTCTCCTAGTTTATTAGTGGTACAAATTGTGAAAATTTCATAGCCGCATAAAGTTTAGTCCAAACAAACAACCAAGTCTCCAAATCCACATATACTACTTCAACTTCTTCCATCAGATGATCCAATTGTGTCACCTCCACCATGGCCGCCTCCCGAAAATGGTTGAAGAGATAGTTCTTTGTTAATCGGGTCAAATGATGTAGTCAATTCAACTAATTTAGCTTAAAAAATCAATTTTTATAGGCCAATTAAAAGATGAGGTGGGATACAAATAGGATAAATCGAACTGATTTAAAAGCCTTATTAAAAACTAATATTTATTTTTAATCGTATGTATTTTTTTAGTATAATTAATTTATTAGATTAAATTATCATTTTGAATAATATTATACTTAATTTTTAAATGTTTCGTAGTATTAGATTTAATTTTAGATAAGATTAAATTTGATTTAAAAATCTTTAACTATATTTTGCATCCCTATTTGTATAAATAAGGATCCATGATTTGACCAAAAAAAGCATTAAAAAAAACTTAGTTTCTCCTTGATAAGGATCCATCATTGATTAATTCATTAACAATTGCTATCAGATTTAAGAAATCATTCTTAAGGCCTATTCGAGCATTCTCTTCTAATCCAAATTGTGTCAGCTTAGTTTCTCCTTTATCCGTATCTCTTTCATCCTTCCACCTCCATCAAGTTTACAAGCTAGGTTAGCTTTGTTCTTCAAAAGTACGCAATCAACTAATTTCAGTGATAGAAGCTATAGAATCTATTATGAAAGAAAATGGAATTCATAGACAAAAATGAAAGTTATACCAAATTGTAAATTGATTCACAAGTATTATTAATTTGTCACTTTGTTATACCTAACCAAATCAGAGGCAAGTGGAGGTAAGGAAATAACCATGATTACATGTGAAAAAAAGTAATGAATATAAATCAAATAGATTTAAATGTCATCCAAAATTCTAAGCAAATGGCTTGACAACCTGTGAATGAATAAATGAATCAACAGTATCCACAGCCCCTCTAACTTTTCATATAAAAAGCTGTGTGGAAGGGCGAAAAAATATCTCCACTATACTTAATTAGCATCCACATGCAATGAAAGCTCATAATTTCAATTTAATATTCTCTTCGCATTTGAAAAAAATAATAATAATAAAGACAGTGACAAAACTTTGGATCAGAACATAAAATACTAATCCTTATAGCATCAATCTACATTTTAAAAATTTTGTAGCATAGTTGACAAAATTAAAAATAGGAGGATCATTTCTATTAATAAAAATTATTGGAGGGCCTTTCCGTCTTAATTCCATAGGAGCAGTTAAATAATTATGTGATCTAACAGTTCATAGGTGTTTTCCCATAAATGCCCCATTGTTATGTTAGGAAAATATCCTTTTTTGAATAAGTTTTCAAGTTTTATCCAAGTTTGGGAACAAATCCTCTGCTGTTGGGGTGGATTTCCCAAATCTAGTGGAGAGTAGAAAGGAAGAATGATCATAATGGAGTCTGGATTCCTCCATCAATCCCAAGAGTCTTCCATCAATCTCAAGAGTCTTAGACCTTCTGATGCAACAAAAAGATTAGCAAAACTGAAAAGACTTCCTTTTTCAACATTGATAACGATTGCAAATTAAAGTAGACTTGACTTCCTTAAACTTAAATACTAAACATGACACCATACAACTTATAGTAATTTTGAGAAGAATGATACAAATGAAGAATGATACAAATGAGGCGGAAACCGTGGATAGAAGAAAGAGGTTAGAAGTCCAAAAGAAGAGAAGGGGAAGGAGACAATAGATCGCAAGCTATTACAAACCCGCAGGTTTTTACATTCCACTCATTTTCTACACCAAAAAACTCTCAAAAACAGCAGCAAACAGCCCATTAAATAGGCCTAAAGCAGCCGCCCAAATCAGCCAACAAAAACAGAGGAAAAAACCAAGGAAAAAAGGCACGGCCAGCCCAAAAACCGAACAGACAAGCAGCCCAACAGCCAACCAAAATCGGAACAACCAAGAACCCCAATAGAAACCAAGGAAAAAGGGCATGGCAGACTCAAGAACCAAGCAGCCAGCAGTCGAACAGCCACAAAGGAGAGGCACAGCCAGCCAAAAAAACATCAACTGAGAACTCCAAACACCAAGCAACCAAGGGAAAATGGGCCAAGCACAATAGAAGAAAAAACAAACCACAAATAAATGCCCAATAAGAGGAAATTTTGAAATTTTGCCTACATCAATTCTCCCTTGGTGGAGAAATCTCATCTCCTGATGAGAATGCCTCGGTACATGTTGGAAAATATCAGGATGACGACATTGCAAACTTAAGTTGAATGACAGTGCTTCCTTGATGTTCTGAATGCATTATTTCTGACGTAGATCTTCCTTTTGAAGTGAACTTCGGCTTGTTGATTATTTTGACCCTCTTTTTTTCTTCATTTTTTTAAATAGAAAGGAAGACTCAAAACCTAAAACTCTGATACCAAATTGATGCAACAAAAAATTTTGCAAAACTAAAAAGACTTCCTTTCTTAACATTGATAAACAAAGACACTACAATTGCAAATTAAAGTAAACTTGACTTCCTTAAACTTAAATATTAAACATGGCACCATACAACTTATAATAATTTTGAGAAGAATGATACAAATGAGGCGGGAACCGTGGATAGCATAAAGATGTTAGAAGTCCAAGATGAATTATAAGAGAAGGGGAAAGGAGACAATAGGTCGCAAGCTATTACAAACCCGCAGGTTTTTACATTCCACTCATTTTCATCAACAAAAAACTCTCAAAAACAGCAGAAAACAGCCCTTTAAATAGGAAAAGGAAACCAACAAACACCTAAAGCAATCGTCCAAATCAGCCAACCAAAATAGAGGAAAAAACCAAGGAAAAAAGGCACAGCCAGCCCAAGAGCCGAACAGACAAGCAGCCCAACAGCCAGCCATAATCGGAACAGCCAAGAACCCCAACAAAAACCAAGGAAAAAGGGCAAAGCAGGCTCAGGAACTAAGCATCCAGCAGCGGACCAGCCACAAAGGAGAGGCATGGCCAGCCAAAAAACCATCAGCTGAGAACTCCAAACACCAAGGGTAAATGGGTCAAGCCCAATAGAGGAAAAAACAACCCACAAATAAATGCTCATTAAGTGGAAAATTTGAAATTTTGCCAACATCAATTCTCCCTTGGTGGAGAAATCTCATCTCCTAATGAGAATGCCTCCGTACACGTTAGAAAATATCATGATGATGATATTGCAAACTTAGGTTGAATGACAGTGCTTCCTTGATGTTCCGAATGCGTTATTTCTGATGTAGATCTTCCTTTTGAAGTGAACTTTGGCTTGTTGACTGTTTTGACTCTCTTTTTTTTTCTTAATTTTTTTAAATAGAAATGAAGCATAAACCTAAAACTCTGATACCAAATTGATGCAACAAAAAATTTTGCAAAACTAAAAAGACTTCATTTCTTAACATTGATAAACAAAGACACTACGATCGCAAATTAAAGTAGACTTGACTTCCTTAAACTTAAATACTAAACATGACACCATACAACTTATAGTAATTTTGAGAAGAATAATACAAATGAGGCAAGAACCGTGGATAAAAGAAAGAGGTTAGAAATCCAAGACGAATTATAAGATGAGAAGAGAAAAGGAGACAATAGCTCACAAGCTATTAAAAACCCGCAGGTTTTTTTACATTCCACTCATTTTCATCATCAAAAAACTCTCAAAACAGCAGCAAACAGTCCCTTAAATAGGAAAAGAAAACCAACAAACACCTAAAGTAGTCGCCCAAATCAGCCAACCAAAACAGAGGGAAAAACCAAGGAAAAAAGGCACGACCAGCCCAAGAACCGAACAGACAAGCAGCCAAACAGCCAGCCAGAATCAGAACAGCCACGAACCCCAACAGAAACCAAGGAAAAAGGGCACTGCAGGCTCAGGAACCAAGCAGCCAGCAGTCGAACAGCCACAAAGGAGAGGCACGGCCAGCCAAAAAACCATCAGCTGAGAACTCCAAACACCAAGCAGCCAAGGGCAAATGGGCCAAGCCCAACAGAAGAAAAAACAGCCACAAATAAATGCCCAATAAGAGGAAAATTTGAAATTTTGCCTACATCACCTTCTTCTCTGATCTTTCCTTGGATTTGCTTCTAATTTCAACAGCTAAAAAGGGGTGGTCTGTGGCTGTCCAGGTTGTCCCAAATGGTGGCAACTTGCTGTGCAGCTACACTAAGTTCTCCAAAAAGCGACAAGAGGAAATTACAACTGATTCTAGAAGTCCAACAGGCCAACTATAGCATCAAGTGGCAAGAGACAACTTTCATATGGCAACAATACTGGTAAGTTTCAACCTATTGTTGAAGGAAGAACGAGTAGGACAAAGAACAACAGCTGAATATTGGAGCGGGAAATCTAAAACATTTAATTTCTTGCAAGGCTTAAAATTGCATAATTGTGTATCGTTGTGTTTTTCTTCCGTGAGGTGAGTAAGTCTCGCAATTAAAAACTTATATAAAGTTAAAATGTAAGAAGTAATATATTAGAATCAAAATCAATTAATATATTACAAAATAATATATTAATATTTAAAGCAAAAAGAAGTAAGGAATTTACGTATATATCAAATAACAAATTACACAAACTGCAAAGTATCAAATAACAAATTGCACAAACCAGGAGTGTAATGTAAACGGCAGCAAAGTAAAATAATATAAGATAGCAAATAAAAGTAGCATAATAAATCAAATCAATGTAAGACATTAAATAAGTTCTTCTTCCCTCACTCTTACCATCTAAAATGGCAACTTCTAAAGTTCCAATCATCAAATTAACAATATAAAAAGTAATAAAAAATCCTTAGTACACTCATCACTCAGGAGGGTCTTGATTGGAGTCATCATCATAATGAGCAGCTTTCTCCATCGCCTTATTCAATATTTCAATGGAGTTCAAAATCTCTCAATCTTCTTACTCTTATTCAATCTCAATCAACTTTCTCTTATCTAATCAGTAATAATCAATAAAAATTTTACAATATTAATTCAAATTTAAGACAACTTTAAAATAACCAATTGCCATACCAAATAACCAAACTTAGAAGCTCCACTTCATTGTGGATCTATCCTAATACACTTTTTTTCTCACACTCTCCTCTCTATCTAATCCTGCATACCTCTCTCACACCCTTTGCTTCCATTAACCATCGGTTCCTTAATTTCTCTATGTGCATTCATTGTGCATCTCCAACTAAATTTTCATTTCCACCTCCATGCCACATGTCTTCTTTAACAACCCTTGCTCCAACCCCTTCCTTCATCCCCAAATAAAATATTTACAAGAATAGTAACACTATGTGCATGTTAGACTAATCCCTCTAAACTTCATAATCAAGTAAACATTAAAGTTCATTGATACCCTATCTCAGAGTTTAAACTTAAACATGTTTAAGAATTAAAAACCAACAATGTCAATTAATTTGTTAGGTTCACAACATTAATTTTTCTATACTGATCTAGGAAATCAAATTCAATATATTGTACTGCATAATTTGTTTCTCGTGATATACGAATTTGCATTGTATTAAATGATATATGTCAAAACGTGTACAGCCCTAAAATTTCAAGCATGTCCTTTACTCATGTTCGTATTTTGCAGGTATCCACATCACATGTACACATCCTTTACAAAATTAAGAGCATGCAAGCAGTACTGGCATTCAAAGAAGTAGAGATAAAAGCAAAATACATCACTTTCCTCGAATAAATTACAAAAAATATAGAAATGCAACAATTTTTTACAAGTAAAAAAGATATGCAATCTAACATACTGTTCTAAACAAGAGAAAAACGACGGAGACTGGTGGAGAAAATACCTTGGTTTGAGCAACTTCCTCCCAGTTTAAACAGATAACAGCAACACTATGAGTTTTTACCGCTCTCAATAGTTTCCCATTCTGCAGTAATGCAACTAACGTTCAATCTATGGTCTGCACTATGAAATTTGTGGGCATTATATATATATATATATAACTATTATTAGTGGGATAAAGGCTTGATGTTGTTGTTGTATATATATCACTATTATTTTCTTCCATAACGTCTGAATTAAAATTCAAATTGAACTTCTGTGTCAATGACAATTAATATGTAATATTCTCCAAAATTTAATTTCCAGCAGTACATTCATCTAAGAAACAATTATAAAGTACTGCCGAGTGACCAACATTAAAAAGATCATAGCTAATACAGCATTCCCCAAAGATCCCAAATAAAACTTGAATTTATGTGATGGCAAGTTAGAGAAAGGTACATTAAGCAATAGCATTATGATGATAGATGACAATCCCTAGAAGTATTGTCACCAATACGATCAGGTATTTTTGGAGATACAAGGAAATTTTTATCAATCTTTTTCACCACTAATTCCTTCTAAGAGAAATTAAACCTCAAAAAGGTTAGCATCAAGTTAACAGCCGCCCGAAACACACCGATCAACCATTGCGTGGACTTGGGTTTCATACAACACATATACTTGAAACAATAATAAATAATTTGAACTATACCCAGATTAAATAAAAATCATTATCAGCCATATCAAGAATTCAATTATTAATGAAATTAACATACCATAAATCATGAAGCATGTAAAGTAGACAAGTAGATTTGCAAGAAAGGGAAGAAATAACACCATCATTCACAGACGACCTTTAAAAAACAAGCGTGTTTTGGACAGCTGTCTTTGTAAGTTTTAATAACTTTTAGAAGGAATCCACGTTGAAGAAAGATTCGTAAAACTGACTTTGTATCTCAAAAAAGGGCAGTAGATAAGCATCATGATCATTAACCTTATCAGGAAAGAATTACACAAATTAATTAAACAAACATACCACAAATCATCAAGCACGTAAATTTCAGTAGACAAGCATAGTTTGGAAGAAAGGGAAGAAATAACACCATCACTCAGTGATGACTATAAGAAGACAAATGGGCAAAATTTAGATGCATCATCTGAAAGAAAATTACATCTTTTGGGAAAAAAAAATGAATCTCAAGTAAATGATTATAAAATTCCAAAAATAAGGCAGTGCACAGCAGCTAATATGCTGATTTATGAAAAACATGATGAAAAAAGCTCAAATTACAGCAAGTAATTCAGAAAATCATTAGATTCTCTTTTGACTGGAAAGGGTAAACTGCTGGCAGCATATGCTAGTTCCTTTGATTCTCATTTTTGGTATCTACTTTTTCTACAACCACAATCATCATTAGCCTTATCCCAACTATTTCATGGTCAATTTCATGAATCCTCGTTTTTTTAATCTATTTTGCCTACCTCAACATCATGCAGTGAAATGGTTCCATCATCAAGACCAAGAGCAATAGCTTTTCCATCAGGACGCCAGCAAAGGGATGTAATACCTTTCCCTAAAAAATACCAAGGAAGGCAGTATGCATGCAATCAGAAATGCTAACAACTAATACTGAATGTGTGCAAAAAATACATGAAAAGGTACTAGCAAACTAATAATAAACTTTCTATATCTTAGGCAAGGTAATGAATACTGTAACAAGTGAAAGAAATGATGAAGCCATCCATCAGCATCTCAACACTGGATTCAATCATGCTGAGTTGGGCCTTAATACCTTCTGGGTAGATAGGAGTGTATTGTCGAAACCCATTGTTGTTTTGATGAAAAAAAACACAACTGCGCTGAACTAATCTACAGTCCCCAAAATTGTGAATTAGAACCCCTCATTAAAAGCTCGAGTGCAACATCATTAAAACAGTAAATTTGCTGATCAAGTCTAAATCTTTGCTTAAGAAAAGGCCTATTCATTGATATTTTGTATTTAGGGCGTCTAATTTAATTAATCTGGTATGAAAAATGCCAATTAAGTATATAGGGCAGTAGAGCTTGTTTTTGTAATAAAATTGATAGCCTTGCCTTGGCCGAACCCAAGCCTCACTCGATATGGGTTTAGTGACCTACCCTATTGATTGCTGACCATCTCTTTGGCAGTTAAAGGACACATCGTCCTATGGGCTCAAGCTAGTTTTGGCCTATATAACTAGCCTAGCAAACCACATACATTTTACTAAATAAAATTATGGTACCCTTTCAATAGGATACAAACAGCCTATTTTAGCCAATTATTTTATGAAATTTAGCCAGACAACCCTATGGGCCTCATTACTTTCCAATGTCAAGAAAACTAGAGTCCAATGTGTCAAGTGAATAAATTCACTTAAATTGAGACTTAGGCTCACCTCAAACATCAACCATATGAACTAGAGATTTGTTCTAGCCTCACTACCCTAACCCTAAGAACCAAAACCAAGGCTGAATAGGGTTTAACATGGTCAAAACAGCCTTGACCATAGGATTATTTGAAGCTATTTGGGTTCCTTTGAACTCACCGTAACTTTTCAAGATTTAAATCTAGCTCGCCAAGACAGCCACTAGGTTAAACTTAAACAAACCTCAACTCAACTCAATTTGGTCTAATTGAGTCAAACCAAATGGATTTAATGGGTCAAACCAAGACTGCAACCCAAATGGATAGACTAGCTTGGCTCATTCCATTTCAAGTCCAAAATTGTACTTATCTAGCCTCCTAGGGTTTAGCCAAAACGATTCAAGCTAAATCCAATAGTTGTTGTCCAAGAAAAAGTAACCAAATGTATTGGTATTGGCTCCCTTTTTGCATGATCTCCTGGCCACGTAACTATCAAGGGGAATCCGCCAAAATCCATGGTCTTTTTAGCTTTGGATAGTCACACATTAAGTGAAATTAAATAGAGGGAAATTAGGGCGATTGGAGAATTCAAGTTCTTAGAGCTTCCATAAAGCATGAGAAATTTTTCTCGAGTTTCCCCTTCCTTTCCAAAGGCCTTCAAGCCCTAGTAAGACCAAAGTCCAGCAAGTTGGGGCTGCGTTCGATTTCCATATAGTATGACAAGGAGGCAATCAAGGAGCTCTTCAATAAAGTTTTACCTCTGCCAAACAAAATTTCTCCATTTGGCAAGCTGCCGAACATTTAATTCAGTGACGTATAATCCCTCAAACCTTAATTCAATGAGCTATAATCCCTCAAATCTTATAACAATCCTTAAGTCACATACTTTATTCTATAAGAGTTCATCCTAGGATTATCCATCTGTAGTAAGTTGCATTACACTATTCTTCTTCTTTAGTAAGTTGCATTCTCTCTCTCTTTCTTTCTCTATATCTATTAACCTCTCTCTCCCTCACTCTCTCTCACCCTCCCTCCCTCCCTCCCTCCCTCCCTCACTCAATCTCTCTCTCCTTGGCGAACAACTTTAGATCGTTGGAGATTAAAGACGACCTCAGATCGTCAAGTTCTCGGATTCAAGTCTGATATCCATTAAGTCGCATCCGCATATTCAATCTCTCCATCCTAGCAAACATGTGGCAACCATGTGGCAAAATCAAACTCCTATCTTATTAGCCGAATAGCAAATAACCACACCAGCAAAAGAGCTCCTTCCATGAGTAAAAAACCCCGCTAACTAGAATTAAAAAAATAAATAAGTCCAAGAAAAACATCTAAAATTCATAATTAATGCTAGAAAAACAATAAAATGCAAGTCATAAAGCATTACATTCCTTTAAAATGGAAATGAACATTAAATTTTATCTAAAATATAGGATAGTTTTGTTTTCTATAAATTTGAATTTTTTACTTTTTTTTAATTCTTTTAATGAATTTAATTAATTCTAAAAATGCTGAAACTTTTGTGGATTGTTCTATGGACCCTCCAAAATCCTTGGTGCAAATTTCAGAGCATTTGAAATTAATTAAACCCATTTTTCATTCTTCAAAACTTCAGGCAATTTAATAGATTAATGTTGTCATGCAAACTTCTACATGGAAAACCTCCTTGAGGTGATCATGTGATTGGCTACATCATGTCAAGCTTCATTTTCAATTTGAGTTTCTTTCTTCTTAGTCCTTGATTTAGATAATGTTTTAACAAGTTTTAATAAGAATCTAAGTTGTTAGATTTGGCAAGTCTTTCTTTCTTCTTAGTCCCCATTATAATGTGTTTTCATTTTATATTTGGTTGTATCTTGACTAGAACTAGTAGCATTTTCTTGTAGTTCATTCCTATTGCAAGAGTTCTTGAGCCCGAGAAAAAAGGTTGTAGTTGACTCTCAAGGGGTATTAATTTTTTTCTTTATAGATAGGTGATGACGGTTTAATGGAATTCCCAAGGGCGAGCTTGAGAAGTGGGCGCCAAATTATTTAAAAAGCCAAGCCACTATAAATTCTTGTGCCTCTTCTTGTGGTTGCATTTGGAATCTCATTGTTATACTCTCAAAATCTCTCTTAAATTTTGTAGTTCTAGTTAAACCACTATTCATATGTGAATTGCTTTGATTAAATATCTTTGTTGTTCTTTTATGAAAAAGTTATTATCACACAATCCAACCCCTAGTTTTGAAGTCAAGGACAAAATATAGATCATCCTAAGTATTAATCCTTAATCAGCGTGCATTCATGCAATTCGAATATAGCAAATTAGGAATTATTAGATTCACCACAACATTAAAAGGCTCTCATTTTTTTGTAATTCCCGCATTATTGTTACATCATTAAATGGATCAAACTCAAATGTGAAACTATGGCATGTCTTTAAGAGATAAAAATATTATACAGCATAAATGGCATAGTAAAGGCATGAAGCTCTTGCTGATGCGGGATATGGTGAGTGATTAATGTATTCATCTTTAACCTTAAATTTAAGTCAAGCTATGCCAGCATGGGCATAATCCCTCGTGCAAGGGATTAGTTATGCAAACTTATAAGCTTAATTTAAGCAAACTTATTGAAAAATGCTTAATATTGTGTTAGGCTGGACCAAGGGCAGGCTGAACCCATCCATCGTGGACCAGTTCAATGCTACAGGAGGCAAAAAAAAGGGGCAAGCGGAACCAGGGAATAGGGACAGGGGAGGCCAGAGTGATGGGGCCCACACCTTAACTAAAGTTTGCTTGGGAGGGAAATTTGAATTAAAGTCTGTTTAGGGATTTTGTAATTGCCTTCTTTACTTTAATTAGTTGCTCTTGCTAGAGTTAGGGTTTTCATCTTGAATTTGAATCCAAATTTGGGATCTTTGTGTTGGTATTGGGCTCTAGTCTTTGGCTAGAGATTTAGAGGGTTGAATCTTCCTCTCGAATTGAAGATTCATTATATCGGATTGTTCCTTTTCCTTTTACTAGTGAATTCCAAGTGTTTTCTCCCTGATTTTCCTACTAGTTTGGCAAAAACTACTGTTTTCTATCAAATTAATATCAGAACACGCCTATCTAAGGGATATAAATGACCAGAAGGAAGGTTGAAATTTTGAAGGGAGAACTTGGGCAACTCAAATCAGATTTTGAGGAAAAGATTTCTGATTTTCAAAATCATATCTCATATGTTAATGAAAGGATGGAGGGAAAGTTCGTCGTGGTGGAAGATATGTTGAAGAAATTGCTAGAAGCCAAAACCAATCTGCCAATATCGGAAGCAAAGAAAACTACCGACGACCATGGAAGAGGTGGGAACCCTAACACATTTAGGGGAAGGGAAATCTAGAAGTGAAGATCTTGGAGGGTGAAGACGGAATGCCTCCTCTAGAACCACTTTATAAGGAGAATATGAGCATTGGCTACGAAAGAAGTGTTGATTTTGTGAGGAGAGAGGATGATTTCGATCGCTAGGGTGCTGATTTTAAAAAGAAGAAGAGGCAATTTTGATGAAGGGGTTGGGTATGATCGTCGAAGGAAAGATCGTGACAACTGGGGAGCACCTCCTCTTCCAGGAATGGGAGGCTATAGAGGATTCGGGAGAAATGGGAGTGACCTGAAGGTGAGGAAGCTGAAGATGCTTATCTTTGAGGGCGAGGACGCACATTGTTGGATCTACAAGGTGGAGCGATATTTTGCGATCAACGGATTGACAAAGGAGGAGAAATTGACAGCTGCATGATTGTGCTTAAAAGGGAAGGCACTTGATACATTGCCTGATGAACAACATTCAAAAGATAGTTCAATTCTGTTCATAAAATACCACAAGTTCAAGCTGGTATTGGTTTGGTCTCCTGAAGGAAGTATTCTCCTATATGCATATGCTTTGACGGACCCTCGTACCAACAATGAAGCTAAGTACGAAGCTCTAATTCTAGGTCTTAAATTATCTATTGCATGGTACCAATAGCGAGACATGAGGCGACCCATTCGGAGATGGAGGGAGTTCAAGGACTGTTGAACCAGTAGGAGAGAAGACTTTTATGAGCAGTTCTTCGCCCTGACGCAGGAAGGGATGAAGAAGGGGGGGGGGGTGGTCATATAGAATAATCACCACCTTATTAGCTCCCAAAGGGGCTGCACAAGGAAGTTTGAGAGAAGTACCAAGGA